TTGACCCTATATTTCAGGAAACCCGATCCTGATAATGTATCATTTTTGAGGTTAAAAAAGGCAAAAAAAAGAGAACGAGCAAAGAATGAGAATGGAACAGGACGCCGAAGACGAGGCTGTTGAGACACTTTGAAGAGTCGAAGAAGCCTGGGAGAGCATTCTATATGGTCTAGTAATCAGAAATTTTGTATTGTTATTTATGTCCAGGTTTCGAAAATATATTCTATTACCGTCGTTGATAATAACGAAAAATATCATTCGTATATTATTATTTCAAGATCCAGAATGGTCAGAAGATTTTGGGGATTGGCAAAAAGAAACCCATATTAACTGCACCTATCGGGGCACTCCAGTATATAACAACGCATTGCCATGCAACTGGCTCGACGCCGGTCTTCAGATAAGGGTCTTATTCCCTTTTGTTCTGAAAGCTTGGCACGAGAAACCTAAGGTACTATCTACTGAAAAAAAACAATACAGTGAAAAAATATCCGCTGGAGATGAAAAAAGAATCTCTGCAACCCACTTATGGTTTTTAACAGCTTTTGGAACAGTACTCGAATCGTACCCTCAGATGCATGTACCAAACCCATTTGCATTTTTGGGTCCCATTTTAAAACAAATAACAAAAAAATTGAAAAAAGATTTGAAAAAATGTTTGAAAAAATGGGAGAATGAAGCAAAAGAATAGATTTTAGTATTCACCTTATCAATATCTCATTATGGATTCCATTTGACGTCTAAATCCTTTGTCAGGCTATTGTTCTCTTAATTTTCTTTCTGGAGTAAGACATTGATTTATCAATTAAGATCAACTCTTTTAATTACATGATGGACTCCTATGAAAAAACATTGGCGCATGTGTAAACGAGGTGCTCTACCTAACTGAGCTATAGCCCTTGTGCTTTTGATACCACAACAAGGAAAGCACTTTTTTACTCTTTCATATACTAGGGGATTTCACTTGGAAAAGCAAATATTCAATACTAATCGATTGGGGTCTATAACTCTAGGTTCTAATGTACCTGATCTTGTAGCACTTACTAATGAGGCGCTATCGATTAGTATTATACAAAAGAAATCTATTATAGACACTAATATAATTCGATTTGCTCTTCATAGACAAACTTGGAATTTTAGATCTCATATAAGAGAGATTTAGGATCATGGGATCCTTTTTTATCAGATAGGGAGGGTTGTTTCACAAAATCTACTTCTCAGTAATTGCTCTATAGATCCTATATCTATCTATATGAAGAAGACAACATGTCAGGAGGAGGATTCTTCTTTGTACAAATGGTACGTCGAACTTGGAAGAAGCATGAAGAAATTAATTATACTTCTTTATCTTTTGAGTTGTTCTGCCGGATTGGTCGCTGAAGACTTTTTTTCTGTACCCAGACCTAATGAAAACAATGATGCTTCTTATAGACTCCGTGAGAATGATTCTGATCTAGTTCATGGGCTATTAGAAATAGAGGGTGCTCTGCTGGGACCCTCCGAGACAGGAAGTCGGTTTGATAATGATGGAGTGTCGTTGCTTCTTCGGCCCGAAAGAAATCCCTTAAAGATGCTTCAAAATGGGTTTTCTTCTATCATTTATAATAGTGAACGATTTCTCTATAAAAAATATGAACCGGGGTTCGAAGAAGGGGAAGGAGTCGGAGTCTACGACCCGAAACAGATAGAGCTAGAGCTAGAGCTAGACCTAATGGAGGAATTATTGGAAAACATACTTTGGGCTCCTAGACTGTGGCGCCCTTGGTGCTTTCTCTTTGACGAAGGGTCCAATGAATTGAGATTTCCCTATGGGGAAGGGTCATTTCAGGACAAAGATGATTATGATGAAAAGGGTGAGAATGATTCGGAGTTCTTGCAGGATGGAACCATGCAGGACCAGACACGAGTGAGATCTTCCAACGAACAAGGCTTTTTTCACATAAGCCATTTCATTTGGGACCCCGGAGATCCACTCTTTTTGCTATTCCAAGAGGATGAGGATCCTGTGTTTTCACATCAAGAAGAATTTTCTTCAGAGGAACAGATACTTTTGACTTCCAAAACCAAGAAAACTTATTGGAAATATCTAGATGAAAGATGGTTGAGGAAGGATATGGAAGAACAGAATTTGAGATTATCGATTGATCGCGAGAGATGGTTTACAACCAATACTTCAGTATCAAATGAATTTTTTCGTTCTACTACTCTATACGAAAGTTATCAATATTTATCAAATGTGTTTCTATCTAACAGAACCCTATTGGCTCAAATCACAAAGACATTGTTGAGAAAAAAATGGGTTTTCCCAGACGAGATGCTTGTTATTATCTCTTCCAATAACGAACGATTGGTTTCACTGAATAATGAAATAAAATAGATACTTTCTTTCTCGTCGTCTCAAGTTGATATTAGGGGATCTTTCAATTGAGAAGATCCCCTAATATCGAGAATCCATATTGCCCTTGACCGAGCCCACTTGTTTTGAAGCAAATAAAGAGATCCACGGGGGGATTTGTCCTATTCAGATATTCACAACCAATAAGTACAGAATTTTCTTTTCAGATAGGTCCTGAGAAAGAAGGTTGGCATGCCAACAGGCGTCTATTATGGAATTCACCCGACCCGAGAGTACAGTACCCATTTTTTGGAATGTCGAGTGCCAAAGTCATTGAATGGGTAAGTCACCAATCTCCTAAATCGAATATAAAATCTACTTTATCCGTTGGTTTACAGGGGTTGCAGGCGGGACGATTTCAAAATGGACTCTCCATTCATTTCATTAGATAGATAAGATCACCAAAACTTCGTGATCTGCTGGCGAACTTATTCCAATTCCATAATAGATCTCAATATTATGCCTTGGGGATACTCCATCAAATATCAAGTATAACGTATTATATCAGATTATAGCACCTCGGGTGCGAGTGAAATTATTTTAGTAAAATTTAACTGTCTCAATTCTCGGGCTATTGCGGAAAAAATTCGAGTTCCTTTTGGATTTCCCTGTTTATCAATGAGAACGGATGCATTATCATCATATTTTATTATTATACCATTATGACGTTTTAGTTCTTTAGAGGTACGTACAATTACAGCTCTGATGACTTGAGATCTTTCTAACGATGAATTTGGCACTGCTTTTTTGATTATAGCGACAATAATGTCACCCATATAAGCATACTGTCGATTACTAGCTCCTATGATTCTAATACACATCAATTCGCGCGCTCCGCTATTATCGGCTACATTTAAATAGGTTTGAGGTTGAATCATATCCTTTTTTCTTATCTTTCAGTCAAAAAGTTGAAATAAAAAAAATATTGTGTGTTCAAAAAAAAAAAGAAACGGAGAATTTCCTTTTTTCATACTAACATTCGTTCTAATGATTATTTGGAAAAAATGAATTGAGTTCGTATAGGCATTTTGGATGCCGCTATTGAAATCGCCTTTCTAGCGATATTTTCTGGGACCCCTCCCATTTCATAAAGTATTTTTCCGGGTTTAACAACAGCTACCCAATATTCAGGCGATCCTTTTCCCGAACCCATACGCGTTTCGGTAGGTCTTACTGTAACTGGTTTGTCTGGAAATATGCAGACCCATATTTGTCCACCCCGGCGAACATTTCGTGACATTGCCCGTCGACCCGCTTCTAGTTGTCTAGATGTGATCCAAGCGGGCTCAAGTGCCTGAAGAGCATATTTTCCGAAGCAAATTTTATTACCGCGTGAGGCGTTTCCTTTTAATTTCCCTCTATGATGTTTGCGGAATCTCGTTCTTTTTGGGTTATAGTTGATGGTTATTTCTCAATTCCATCTCTATTACAGAACCGTACATGAGATTTTCACCTCATACGCCTCCTCGCAAATAAATCGATTGAAAAATCTGGAACCGAAAAAAGAATAATAATTAAAATAATATATACTAATATACATATTTTTTTCTAAAATAGAAAATGAAATAGAATCGCGGGATTTTCGCGGGCGAATATTGACTCTCTGATTATAAATTGAAGATGTAATGTTGGGTTCGTCCACAACTCCTCAAAAAACCATGAATTTTTAGTTTCTTCCGCCATCCCATCTAATGAATCAGTAAGATTTCTAATTTTCATGGAATCTTTTGTATTCACAGGTTCCGTCGTTCCCATCGCTTTTCAATTTATGGTTAGGTCTAAATTCTACAATGGAGCTGCTTTAATAAGATTAATAAGATTTTTTTTTTTATTCTTTTTTGTTGAATCAACCCTCTCAGTTTTCTTGATTCGTGGCTCTTTATTCGTTTATTCTAATATTCATCCATATATGGATGAATTTTGAATATTGATGCTTTATTACACTACTTTTTATGAGATGACCAATAGACCTTTACATAGTAGAATTCTATATCATTAATATCCTTTTTCTAGCTTTCTTTCACCCCTTCATTTATCTGTATATTCTTATTGCTTTACAACTAATAATTTTATTTTTTTATTTCAGTTGCTATAATTATATCACCACATAGATCCTTATTTTGATTTTCTATTTTCGGCAGTTCTTTCTATCCAGATAATGGGAAGCGATGGATTTATTATATATATTATTTAATATCCACTTTTTTTTTATACTTTTATATTAAAAATGAAATCTAAAAGAAAAAAGAAATATGGTCTAACTTGACAAAAGTAAATATCTATATAGAATAACAAATGGGGCGTGGCCAAGTGGTAAGGCAGCGGGTTTTGGTCCCGTTATTCGGAGGTTCGAATCCTCCCGTCCCAGATGATATCGATTCAATTCATCACATTGACATGAATCGATATCATAGGTTTTTCGCCATAAACCAAAAATAAAAAAGGCTGTTCTTGGGTGGGGATATATTGTTCATTCATATAACTTTCAATTACTTATTAATTAAATAAATTAATATACGAATTAAAATTAAATTTGATAACTATTCGATAAAAAACAATGACTATTCATTATATAATATTTTAATTTAAAAAGGAATAAAAATCTATGGAAAGACAAGGGTTCAATTCGATGCTGTTTACTAGAGGTATGCTGTTTACTAGAGGTTTAGAATACAGGTGTGGTTTAAGTAAATCAATAGATAGTTTTGGTATAGATAGTTTTGGTCCTATTGATGAAAATCACGGTGGAGACCCATCTAGTTTAACTGATATGCATAATAACATTCATAGCTGGAAGAACAATAGTGAAAATTGTAGTTATAGTCATGGTCATGCTGACTATTCAGCAGATGTGAACAACATACATAATCATAATTTGCTATTAGCAAAAAGTCTATCCGTTTGGGATAGTCATAATAATAGTTATGACATATATTATGCTTATAATGATGATAGTTGGACTTGTAACATGAATTGTTGCATTTGGAATTATCTTCGTTCTCAAATCTGGGAGGATATTGACAAATCCAATGCCAGTTACCGTGATATGGACTTTAAGAGTTACATTTGCGATAGGGGCCAAAATACTAGTGAAAGCCATAGTACAAATATAATAATATTAAGGAACACAAATGCTAGAAATCAGACAGCAGATCCAGATGATGTAGATATATTTGATGGATCAGATATATCAGATTCATTGGAGATAGATCTATCTGATCCATCCGACACAGATTATCGATACGATCCATTTGCTGATACATCAGATATATCAGATTCATTGGAGATAGATCTATCTGATCCATCAGATACAGATTATCCATATTATATAGATGGATCTGATATATCAGATCCATTGGAGATAGATCTATCTGATCCATCAGATACAGATTATCCATATTATATAGATGGATCTGATATATCAGATCCATTGGAGATAGATCTATCTGATCTATCAGATACAGAGGAGGATCTATATGGTATATACGATCTAGATGAGATCTATTATCTGGATGGATCAGATAGATCAGATCCATTGGAGACATTGGAGACATTAGAGACATCAGATCCAGATTATATAAATGATCCAGATGGATCAGATAGATCAGATCCATTGGAGACATTGGAGACATCAGATCTAGATGAGATCTATTATCCGGATGGATCAGATAGATCAGATCCATTGGAGACATTGGAGACATCATATCCAGATTATATAAATGATCCGGATGGATCAGATAGATCAGATCCATTGGAGATATCTGATACATCAGATACAGATATATGTCAGAAGGATAGTGATGATAATAGCAAAATGGATATGCTGGCTAAAATGAACCAATATAGTCATTTATGGGTTCTATGCGAAACTTGCTCTAGCTTAAATTTTAAACAATTTTTAGTAGCCAAACTGAGTATTTGCGAATACTGTGGTGAGCATCTGAAAATGAGAAGTTCAGATAGAATCGAACTTTTGATTGATCCAGGTACTTGGAATCCTATGGATGAAGACATGGTTTCTCTGGATCCCATTAAATTTGATTCGATTGAAAAAATTCCAATTCTTCAATGGGATCCCATTGCATTCGACTTGATTTTCGTGGATCCTCCCGAGGAAGAGGAAGAGGAAGATGATCAACCTTATATCGATCGTCTTGATTCTTATCAAGAAAAGACAGGATTACCAGAAGCGGTTCAAACAGGCATAGGTCAACTAAATGGTATTCCTTTAGCAATAGCTGTTATGGATTCTGAGTTTATCGCGGGTAGTATGGGATCCGTAGTGGGTGAGAAAATAACTCGGTTGATCGAATATGCTACCAATCAACTTTTACCTCTAATTATAGTCTGTGCTTCCGGAGGAGCGCGTATGCAAGAAGGAAGTTTAAGCTTAATGCAAATGGCTAAAATTTCTTCTGCGTTATATAATTATCAAATAAATAAAAAGTTATTCTATGTAGCGATACTTACATCTCCGACTACTGGTGGGGTAACCGCTAGTTTTGCGATGTTGGGGGATATCGTTATTGCGGAACCAAACGCAACCATTGCATTTGCGGGTAAAAGAGTGATTGAACAATTGTTGAATGTGGAAGTGCCTGAAGGTTCCCAATCGGCGGACCTTTTATTCGACAAGGGAGTATTGGATTCAGTCGTACCACGTCATTTTTTAAAGCAGTTTTTAACGGAGTTATTTCAGTTCCATGGTTTCGTTCCTTTGACTAAAAATTTGGAAGATTGAATAAAAACAATTTTAAACTTAGTTTTACGTTAATTTGCACTAAGAATCTATTTTTTATTTCCGCCTTTTTGTAACTAGTTTGTAGCTAATACCTTATTTTACACTATTTTATTTAAACTAATTTAGACTAAGAATACCCTTTTTATTTCTCCTATTTTGTAACTCTGATATATAGACCATGGATCTAAAAGACTTGAAAAGATTTTTGAAAAACCTGTGGATCTGGAAAAAAAGACACTGTATTATTATTACAGTGACACATATTTTCCTGCATGGAACTTACCTTTTAAGTATATTAAAAGTAATAGTTCTTCTCCTAGAAAGAAGCCGCCCGTATCTGCCACACATCCTGGTGGATTTATTT